AACTATCCCGTTTCCAATGTATGCACACCCAGTAATATGTATAATACTGAAGCTTCCTACAAAAAACAACATGAACAACAACAACAACAAACTCCACAACAAAAAAAACCACACAAAAAAAATTATCCAAAAGATAGCATTTCATTCTGGAAGTCATTAAGTGCCACCAGCTCTCAAACCAACATGATTCAAGTCTAACAATAAAAGTATGTATTTTTGTATATTGTCCAATTTATAGACTTAAATAATGACAGCAGTAGCTCTTGCTTTTCAGATGCATGTATGTTAGTGCTCGCTACTGAAGGATTTTAGTTTCTAAAATTATTTTACTTACAGAAGTAAACAATAGGGAGTAAGAAATTTATTCCTTAAGGTAAACACTATGAACTAGTTAAAAATACTAAATAAGCTGGTTTTAAAACATTTATGTTTTTAAGTGTTCTCTATATGAACAAATTCAATTCCCTTTTTCATTTTAACACATTTATAAAAGAAGCTGCAGGTTCTGACCTAATAAATTATCTTTTCACCATATTTTACTGATAGTCTTGGCTAGCACATAATCATTGTTAACTAATCAAGGACTAATACATACTTTTCAAACCAAACTCCCATTGAACAGCAATATGTATTGATGTTTAAGTAACAACTACCTGCATACAAGTCTTTCCTCACAAAAAAATCAAGCCATAGATGACCAACACAAACTTTCAATTCAACTATCATATTAATTATACAATCATTTAAATAAGAAACAATTTGCTTTTAGTTGTTGAAAGAATGCAGAATTTACACAGGAAATGTTGCTTTCAAATGAAGGCATTTGTCTGTATGAGCTACAAGAAGATGGATAATTTGAGATTTGGCAACTTGCTCTGCTAAAAACACTAGATAAAACTGCTACATTTTTCATTTACTGTAAGAAAAAATCATGTTTAATACAGTTATAAAAGTGTCTTCTCTCCTTAGCAGGTCTACTTCCTTCACTTTCAGAGGTATTACTTAAATCTAATCTAATGTCCTAATAGTTCAGACATGCACCAGAGGTTAGAAGCACAGTATTTTGACACTTTGCACTGAAGATCAATAACCAGAATTCAAGGGAAGAATTCCTTTAAAATTACACCTTTCTACAACAAGGAGAGCACACTTGTGAAACAGTGACAGACTGAGGAAAAATTCTAGCCACATTTGTTATAAAAGTCATGAATCTAAACATAAAACACATGAGATATTAACTTTAAAGAAAAAAATATTTCTTTATTCCTTACCAGTATTTTCCTTTTTTCCTGCAACTACCTATCACTTGCTTTGGGATATAACATTAGTTGTTATTACTTTTAATTTGTTTACATACTAAACGACAGCATCAAAATAAGCTATAATTACTGAACATAACACATACTTGTAACTCTCAACCTGTCGACAAGAAGACACTGTAATGAAAGAATCTGTCCGCGAGCTGTAAGTCAAGGGACCAGGCAGAAGAAAACCAGGTAAAAAACGGCCAAAAGCATAGCTTTCCTGTTCAAACAACATGAGCATCCCATCCATGGATTGTATGCAAATAAAATCTCGACCTAAGAAAAGTAGAAGAAAGAAATACAAAGGAAACAAAGCAATGTTATTTATATAGTTTCAATCCTAAAGTAGTTGACAAATTAGAATTCTATTTGTAAGTACTCCTAACAAAAATAAGATTCATTTTAATTTAAATGAGTGCTTACTATAAGGAAGAACACTAAATATTCCAACCTCAATAAAAGCTTACTTACTAAAATAAACAAACTAGATTTTTGGGGGAATAACATTCAGAATGTATCAAAAGGAAAAAAAAGTTAGATATTATATTTCAAAACATAATTTCTAAAGATAGAACCAGTACAGTTTCAGTTTAAATAAATGTTTCACTACTCCCAAAAACCTCAAATTATTCTGGCTCATAAATGCCTCTATCCTTTACAAGTAGTCATAAAAACCATGGTTCAAAAATAACCTATTCTAGTCTTTCAATTCTACTTAAACAACATGAAGTCCTACAAATATGTATTGTGAAAATAATACAATGGCAATGTTTTCTGTACTTTGCATTCACACTTCTTGCCTTCTAGGAAAGAAAAAAAACCAAGTCCACTCGGTGTTATCAACAAGATTTTTTTTTTAAAAAAAAGCCCCCCACCAAAAAAAAAAGTCACCTTGGAGTAAATTACTTCAAGCCTTGTTCATTCTTTAGCACCCTCAAGACTTAAGACATGACTTGTCATGCCTCAAGTACACCAATCTAAATTTTAAGTCTCATTTTGATGACTTCTGAGATCAGAAGCTGATTATGCAGTTTGCATTTCATATTCAAAGTTAACAATTCAAACAAACAATATTTTGCTTATCTCTCCTGAAGTCAGAGATAAGCCTCTATCTTGCAAACACAACATGAAATACTTATAATTAAAAATGTCTATTTACCTCCATTAAAATACTGCATTGTGCCTCAGGAATTATTCTATATGCGTGGAGGACCTAAACAAACTCTCTGCTCGCTAAGCTCCATCCTCAGTCCTTTAAGAACTGTTTTCTAACATAGGAAGGTGAAGCAAAACTAAAATAGACTAAAACTTCATTCTCACACTTAGATAAAGGTAACAAAAGTCAAAGATATATTCGGTATCTGAAAAAGCAAAAGATGCAAAGTACAGTGCAAAACATTGTTCACCATCACTGTGATGCTTCATAGACACTTTACATAAAATAAATGGTAGTGTAATAGGTCAGCAGTACATTATGTTACTTGTTCTTATCACTATAACATTCAATAAAAATTTAGCTCAGGGTAAGAACAGAAAAAACGAAAGGAAGGTAAAGCAGCTGGATCCTTTTCACTTGCCCTCCCTCATCTCTTTTTCACATTTTCCCATTTTCTAAAAATCAAGTTCTCCCATCCTTCTTTCCAGATTCTGCACATAATTCACAACAAGTTTTATAAACCCTGTTGCAAGTATCAACCATTCGATAGGAAGGATACTTGAAAGTGTAATTCACGCTATGCATTTGGAAAACGCAAAGTTGATTTTCTCAGTCTAGTGAAAAAGTTAAAATACTTCAATCCTTCACACCAATTACTATTTAGATAGAACTGCAGAACAGTTTCAACAGTGTAATTTTAGGAACACTGACAGCATTTCAAGCACATAATCACGATATCTGCTTCTTCCCTTATGTTTTACATAGACATTTTCCAAAAACCTTAAAGGTTGTTCCTATTTAATCAAGTTCAGCTGGTTTTATCTGTCTGAAAACTCCTACAATGCATATGCTTTGAGGGATTACATTAACTGACAATATCAAATACATAAATCTTGCTTTAGCAAAGAAGTAAAAGCATTTCCAATTGACAAATTCATAAATTATAGAAAATAATTTTATTCAACATTAGAAAAATCCCTTATTCCTTATTAAACATGAGAGAAGTACTCCACTAATCAAGAATCCTTGATGGCTTGCTTAACTGAGAAACAATGAGAACTCATCTTCCTAAACTGAAAAATGTCAGAATCTATAGCAATAAACAAATATGTTACACAAAAGCAATTCACCAAGAAAATCATTAAAATACTGTTTAAAAGTAGTCAGACTGACATTTTGTCTGATACTGAAGTGAAACCAAAGTATCTTTGGGTTTTTCCGATGAATGCAAGTGAGAAAATTTAAATATATCATCTTTATAGCAGCTCACTAAACCAGTGACAACTTGTCACCAGCAACTTCAGTTTGATTATTTAAGTCTCAGAAGTTTAATCTATAACATTCTGAAGTTTGTACTACTACACTGGAAACTTGAAACACTTTAAATGTTTCCTCCTCTACATGCGCACTGAAGTCTTACATCCTTCTAGGAAATGTAAACTCTTTACCTCTGTTAACAGCAAAAGCCAATGAAGAAATGTCTCCTGTGACTAAATAAATTTTGAGAATTAGGGTTTGACATAGATCATCAAAAGCATTTTCTAAAAAGACCAATTGTTTTAGAGCTATGATTTTCCCAGACATTTCCACACAGACTTTTTAAATTATAAAACAGGGTCTAGGGCTTCTGTTCAATCTTAGAATTTATTGGTTATAAAATCAGAAACATTCTACAGTATACAAACACATTAGATATGCATATATACACACACAACTCTTAAATGTGCATAATTAGTTAGTTTCCTCTGAAATTTGTACAAAGCAGCTTTATTAAGTCTTTATGAATCATTTACCTTCTTAAATATTCTTCATGGGACAGACTCCAGAGTTGTTTGATTTACTCATTATTAGTAGCTGACATTCTGCAGCTGAAATACGTGATATTCACAGTGACTACTGACCATAATCAGAATGAATGTTTGGTTTGCTGCTTATACTGAGTCTGTAAAGTACTAGCCAAGGACACTGAAATTACTTTACTAACATATGATTCAGAAATTAGAGTAATCTATAAGTAATTACCTTATATGATTCAATTAAAAAATAAAGCAAGATGCATATGAAATTTCATATATTATTTCATATTAATGTTTCTACAACTCTGAATGTCCTGCTTTCCAACACTAACAGTTGACACTATCACTTATTAGTAGTACAAATAATAAAAAGAAAAAGCATATATTCATAGAAGAATTTTAGCAACTATACAAGTTCAAACCAATCTAACGCTTTGCTACTGCTGGAAGAAGCAGTCCCCTCTAGGCCTCCAGCTCCCCTTGCTCAGGTCACATAGTTCCTCCCCACTCCCAAGCCAGACCTTGTACTTATCTGATAGATGTTAAGCTGACAGTAGTACACCATCTTGAATTCATAATTATTTAAGAAAGTTTCAGATGAGTAAATCGTCACCACACATTAAGTAACGTCATACAAGCTGGGGTGAACTGGAACATATCAAGTGTGATGTGGCTCTGGGTTCACAGTTAAAAGCATGAGGGCCCAGGTGGTTTTCCTCCTTGATCCCACTGAAGAAGGGGAAGGGCATGAGGAAGACTAGATGTATCATGTGGGCCAGCAATTGGTTGCACAGCAGGTATCCACAGCAGAGCCTGTATTTTATGACCACATGAACCTCCTTGAGGATCAACAGCTGTTTGGAAGAGACAGGATCCCCTGACTAAATCCAGCAAATACATTTGTCAAACAGGCTTGCCAACACAGCAAGAGCAACCTTAAAGTAGGAATGACAGGAGAGGAAGAGAGATATCACAACAATCAAGTGAGGGACTGGTAGATGGGGTAGGCAAGTAAAGGACCCCAGAATGATGTGAACCAAAGGGACATAGCAATCAACAAAACAGGGCTGAAGTGGAATCACCTCAAGCACTGGAATCCAAGTAAGGAAGTACCCACAGAAGAGCAACCTCATGGAGAAAGTTCCTGTAGTCTTTTTAAGTACCTTTCCAAAATGCTTCTATAGTAATGCATAGTATAAGTACAGGGTTACAACCTCACTGGGATCACAGAGACATTGTGGGCTAGCTCACATGACAAGACGTATGCATCCAGGCCCTTTAGGAAAGGCAGGCCAGGATGGTGATGGAGAGTTGCCCTTTCAAGCAAGAGAGCACCTGAAATGCATGGAGTTCTGCCTGGGGACAGATGATGAGAGCTTATGTGTCAGGATTAGTGAGCATACCAATACGAGGGTCTGTCATAGGCCACCTGATCAGGAAGATGTAAGATGAGGCACTCTTCAAACAACTGGTACAAGCCCTACATTTGGTGGCTCTGGTCCTCATGGGAGACTTGAACCTCCCTGATATCTGTAAGGACAACAGCAGGGCACATGAAATCTAGGTTTCTGTAACACATGGACAAAAACTTCCTAACTCATGTGGCTGATGAGCTAAAGAGGAGAGGAGCTCTGCTAGGGCTGATACTTACAGGCAAGAAGGGATGTAAAGGTTGGGGTACAGCCTTGGCTGCAGTGCCTATGAGATGGTCAGGAGGATGATCACGGTAAATTCAGACAAAGAAGAGGAATGAGCAGGACGTGAAACAGGACCCCTTCCCTAGACTTCAGGAGAGCAGGCTTTAGCCTCTTCAGGGATCTGCCTATCAGTATCTAATGTGATATGGCCCTGGAGTGGGGTCCAAGGGAGCTGGTTGAATATTCAAGGATCACCTCCAAGTTCAAGAACAGCCTATACCAACAGGCAGAGAGTCAAGCAAAGGCAGGCAGCAAGACACCTACGAGGAGCTCCTGACTACATTAACAAAGTGTAAAAGAGGTGGAAGAAGGAGCAGGTGACCTAGGAGGAACATAGAGATACTGTATAATCATTCAGGTTAGGAAAGTAATAGCCCAGCTGAGTTGAATCCGGCAAGAGATGTGGAGGGCAACAAAAAAAAGGATTCCACAAATACAGAGAAACCCAAATGAAGACTAGGGAAAATGCAGAACCACTGTTCAGTGGAGCACAGGCCATAGTGATAAAAGGCACAGAAAAGTTGAGGGGTTCAATGCTTTCTTTGACTCCATCTTTACTAGTAAACTGGTCTTGAGGAATCCCAAGCCCTGAGACCAAAGGGAAAGTTTTAGCAAAGACTTACCCTC